CTTAACTTTTCTAGATTTGTCTAGTTCACCCAATGGACCTTTCTCATACCCAAACCCCCTTCTTTTGGGAGTGCATACTCTATCCCATTTTATGAGATGAATGGGTTTCTTCCTATTTGTGTTTGACCACCAAAATTCTCTTTAGAGTTTATCAAGATCATCTTTACTAGAAATTTTAAAGAATCTCATGATAAATTGGGCATCATGGTAATAAATGTTTTGTTCAACATACCACATAGCTTCCCATTGTGAAATAATGGTTTTGCCACATTACAAAGAGAGTCCCCAATAATATACCGGATTTTTTTAAAAAATAAAGAATTCAACCCATTAGGGTCAGGAGCCTTTACCTCCTTTATCGATTCAAGAGCTTCAAGGATTTCAACATTGATGACTTCTCTAATGATTTGTCTATTCTGATTCTCAGTGATACACTCATTAATTTCATTAATAGAATTATCTATTCCACTGGTACCTTCAGATTTAAATCTTTGCTCATATTTTTTAGTGAAAAAATTTGAAATATTCGAATATATATTACTTAGCCAAGAGCCCTCCTCATTTTTCACCCACATGATTCTATTTCGAAATCTTCTAATGGTGGCCATAGAGTGTTTAAGAATTTATTCTTATCCCCCAATTTGATCGAGAGTCTATATGAGATGTTTGGGCCTAGTAAGCCTCTACACAAACAAGAATTTTCCAAGTTGTTTTCGCAGAGCACTCTCCAAATTACCGAATTGATTTTTATGCCAATCTTTTGACTTTTTGACTAATTTGTTTCTTTTTTTTAACAGATTGGATGTCTAGAACCATTCACCTCTAGGTTCCAAGCCTGACCCACAACCACTATATTTCTAGGTCAAGACACCACAAAGATTCGAACCTAATAGGTTTGGGTCCTATATGATTTTATAAATCTATATGGAGTAAAAGTGGGGAGTGATCAGAAGCTAGGAAGAGTAAATTTATAAGAGTGGCATTTGGGTATAAGCTCCTCCATGAGTCATTTACAAATACCAAATCAATTCTCTCCGTTATGTTCTTGCTTTTTCAGGTAAATTGATTTCCCTTCGTTTCCATTTCCATTAGCTTACAATTAATCATTAATAAATTCATTAAATGCCCCCTTGTAGGTTGTAGCCAGAATTTCGCCAGAAAATAGTACCCACAAAATGGTTCTCACACCCACCTCACTGCCCCTTCAGTTGTGCATTGGGAACATCTCCCATGAATGAAAAAATACAAGTATGGAAGATGTTTTTGATGTATGGCTGCAACGTGCTGTGAAGAGAAAACCCGGACTCATAGCAAAAGTAATTGATGAAATAGCAAAATATTTTTGGAGTGTCGACCCCTGTTTTGAGGCTTCTACTTTTTATATTTGTTCTTATAATAGTAGTCCATGAAAGGCTATGATGGTGAATTACTAACATTTGTCTTCTCCAACTACAAGATTAGAAATATGTTTAAACTTTAGAGATAGGACAATAAACGAAAGAGATGATCCAATAAGTCTCTTTTTGGTCATCACAGAGACAACATATGGAGCATAGAGGGTTACAAGGTTAACATCAACCCCCTTTCCTAGAGGTGTAAATCAGGTTGTGCTGCCTGCGGCTTGGCACGGCCCAGCTAGAATTTGGGCCGGCTCGTTACGGCATGACACGATGGCACGCAAGCCATCCAACATCTATATAACAACTAGTTTGGGGGCATTTTGGGTAAAGTGATAAATAACTTTACAATGACAAAAATACCCCTCCCAACAACTATAAAATGACTAGTTTTTAGGGTGTTTTGGGCAATTGAATTATTTCAATTCTTATAAATAGCCCTATCCTCCATTCTCATCACTCCAATTCAACAATTCTCTTAATCTCTTCTCTAGTTCTCATACTCTCTCAAGTCCAATCTCTCAACCTCTCAAACTCTCATACATTATTTGATTCCCCAATTCTGAACTTTATTGAAGTTTCAAAAAGAAGAAGGCTTGCTCAAAAGCTCAAGTATCTCAACTCTCAAGATAGAAATTTGGGAGGCTTGGAATCTTAGAATTGAAAGGCTTCAACCATTAATCAAGTTGGGATTCCGAACCGGCAATCCGGGTAAGTATAATTAAATTAATTTTTATTTTTTTTTAGAATTAAAAAAAATGGCCGATTCCTCCCAAAACCTATTCCCAATATGTTCAATGTTGATGATATTCAGTCGTAGATGGTAGTATTAGCATCCTATTGATATTGATGGAACTTCCACCCCTAGTACTGATACTAGGGGAAAGAAAAAGATGGCCACTAAGTTGATTAGCCCAGTTTGGAAAATATTTAAAATAGAGGAGGTTCAGGGGAAGTGAAAAAGAGTTGTTTACCAAAAATGTAGGAAAGGCTCTAGCTATTGTAGCAATGGTGGTACTAGCCATTTGGGTAGACATTTGCTCACCCATAAAGAAGAAGAAGAAGAAGAAGAAGGGAGAGAAACAACACAAACACAAATTGGGAGGGGGAGTTTTGGTACATTTAAATATTCACAAGAAAAAATGAGACAAGAATTAACAAAGTATATTGTACATGCAGAACAACCATTTATATTAGCTGAAGATACTAAGCTTGAAAAATGGTTGCGTAATTCTGTAAATCCACAATATAAAAAAGTTTCTAGGAATACTATTAGATCAGATGCTTTAAAAATTTTTTATTCATATAAACAAAATTTAATTTATATGTTATCAAATTTTAATTCTAAAGTTGCAATTACTTTTGATATTTTGACTTCATAAGTTATATTTGTGTTACTGGTCATTTTATTGATGGAAATTGGCTTTTAAATAAAAAAAATTTAAGTTTTACTAAGCTTGAATGGATACATATTAGCCCAACTATTGCTGCAAGTATTTTAAATACTTTACATGCTTACGGAATTGACAATAAATTATTTTCTATTAGTTTTGACAATGCTAGTAATAATGATTCAATAGTAAATATTTTGAAATCTCAATTAAAACCACGTTTAAATGGTAAATTATTTCATATCAGATGTGCATGTCACATCTTAAATTTATGTATTCAAGATGCTTTAAATATTATTTCTACTCATATTTCTAAAATTAGAAATTGTATTATATATATTAAAAGTTTTGGAGCAAAAAAACAATAGTTTAAATATTTATGTCAAAATTATGGTTTAAAATATAAAGATTTTATATTAGATGTTAAACATAGATAGAATTCTACCTATGATATGTTAGAAAGTTGTATTTCTCACAAACAATTCTTAGTGATTTTTATAATGCAAAAATGCTTATTGATATTATATTTGAGGAAGACTGGGAAATGACAATTTGTATAAGAGATTTTTTAAAACATTTTTATGTTGCAACTAATGATTTATCGAGTATTTATTATCCAACTAGTTGTAATTTAGCTTATCAATTAATAATAATTAGTGATTGTTTTGCAAAATATAGAAATAATCCACAATTTAAAAGTATTGTTGAAATAATGGAAAATAAATTTAAAAAATATTGGGAGAACATTTCTCCTCTTTATTGCTTGGCTACGATATTAGATCCTAGGATTATGAAAGATGGTTTAGATATTTTAGTTGAAACATATTGTGAAAATATGAAATTTGAAATTAAAAATAAAAAAGAAGAAACTAATAGTTTGTTATTTAAAATGTATAGTTTATATGAATTTGAAGTAATAGGGAATAATAAAAATTCTATAATTTGTACAGTTGCATCTTTCACTTCTGAACTTGAGTCCAATAGTGGAAGAGAAAAACTTTTTTTATTTAATAAGTAAGAGGCAGAAATTCACTGCCTCGACAACAAGTTCATTTACTGAACTTAATTTTGATATTTTAGCCTGGTGGAATGAACATGCAAAAAATTATCAAGTTCTCGCTGCCATGGCATGCGATCTACTAAACACTTTGATGTCTACAGTTCCACCAGAGTCTTATTTTAGTGTAAGTACTAAGGTGTTGGGCGACAAGAGAAGATTAGGAATGATGAAAGCCTAGAGATGTGCATCTGCTTTAAAGATTGGCTGGATGGTGAAGATAGATTACAAGATAAAGAAGGGCATGACACTACACCTGATGTTTCACCTGAAACAGATGATCAAAGTCAAGAACAATAGGATAAAATGATGAAGTCAATATTTTTGTATACTCAATAGTTATATAGCATTTTTTCAAATTATTGTAAATTTTGTTTTAATTTTATTTAATTTATTTGATATTTTTTAATAACGTAATTTTTATTTTCAATTTATAACTATATTGTATTAATTTATTCAATGTTCCAATTTTCATATTTCATTCATGCAACCATTGTATGCTTTGTATCATTCAAATTTAAATGAAATAAAATTTCTATTTTTCTTCCAATTTGTTATTTACTTTGAGTCTTTGTCTCTTTGACTTCTTATTTGGTTAAGTATTTTTTTTTCATTTCTTTGTTAGATTTCTTATTTTTCAAATAGTTCCCAAAGGAAAGTTAAATATTTAAATTTTACTTAAATATTTTTATTTTTCAAAATAAAAATGTCAAAAAACAATCTGGTCCGGTTCGGCCTAACCCGAGGCCCGGTTTGTGGCCCAACCCGGTACGATGCATGCCCACAGCATGGTCTACAGCCCGCTCGGCCCAGGCCCGCATGAGCTTGGGTCGTGGGCCGTGCTGGGCCAACCCCCCAATTTATCCATGAGGAGGGTGGCTTAGCCTAGGACGGCCCGTGGGCCGGCACAACACGACCTGCACTTTGCGTGGGCCACAAGCGGGCTGGGCCGTGCCGACTCCCATTTTACATCTCTACCCTTTCCTCCAAGAAATGACTACTTCCTTTGGAGACATTTTATGATTAATAGCTATAAGAAAACTTGAATCTTTGAACAATTGATTAACAACTCTTTACCCAGCTCATGTTGCATGATTGCACACCTGACTTTATTGAAACTTTACCTTCTTGCTTCTTGATGTGGCAGTTGAAATTTCATCCACAAAACCAGTAGCCATACTTCTCAAGAAGCAACCTTGGCTTGGGAACTACAACGAGAGGAATCATTTTCTTTAAAGTTATTCCAGTCTTCTCCAACATATCAATTTCCGTGCCGTCGGCAAATCGCCGCTCAAACAAATGCAACAGTGAAGCTAAAACATAGGGGAGCAACCTCTTTGCTAAGGGAATCCCTGCACATATCCTCCTTCCTGTGCCAAATGGAAAGTAATGAAAATTATTACCACTATAATCCCATTTTCCATTTTTTGTCAAGAAACTCTCCGGATGGAACTCTAAGGGATTGTCCCAAGCTTCAGGATCTCTATGTATTCCCCATGCGTTCACCAGAACTTGAGCACCTTCAGGGATGGTATATCTTGCCACGTAGCAAGATTTACTTGGGTGTCGGGGGAGCAACAATGGCGCTACTAGGTGCAAACGCAGGTTTTCTTTCACCACTGCATCCAAACAATGTAACTTTGGTATATGCAATTCCTCTACCGTGCTGTTCTTTCCCACTACATCATCTAACTCATCTTGGATTTTTCTCATTATCTCTGCCATCGCCCACTCACTGGTTGTTGAAGTTGTATCGGTCCCTGCAACAACAAAATCCTACACAAAACACAGGAACAAGGCCTGCAGGTTAAGCTAGAGTGAGAGTGACACCGGATTCCTAGTCACCTACACATCTTGGCCATCACTTTGTGTAAGTTATATTTTTATTATAATTGCTTTTAAATGATGTTTCATATGTAATTTAGTTTATTTAACATTAATTTTTTCATTCTTTTTTTTTTCAGGTTGAATATGTAAATAGGATATGGGAATAGGCATTTGAAGAAGTCACAATTTTTACATTTCTTTGGTTTAATATATAACAAGACAACTAGTTATAATAAATTTATTATAATGGATGTATGAAAACTCTCGAATTTAAATATAAATGTTTATATTATATTTTGTTATTGAATTGTTTATAACTTTGAATTAAAAATACAAAAATATGGTCTTTTGCATAAATATATACAGGGTTTACAAATTACAAATCCACATCATAAGCATCTATTGATCTATGAAAAGTGAGATAGCTGCGGTTCAAAGAAATGCTTTTAGCGGCGAATATAACCGCCGCTTTATGTAGTATATTTGCCACAAATTAGTTTATAGCAGTAGATATTTTGCCGCTATAAGTTTTTAGAATGACAACTCATTGCATTAGCGGCAATTGTAAAACACCACTATATTATATATTTATCATTATTTTTATCAATAGTGGCGGATTATCTGCCGCTATAGCCTAATCTAACAATGAATGCTATGTATTTAGCGGCAAATATTTTTTCTATTATTTAATTTTTTTCTACTACTAATGGTCAGTATTTTAGCGATAGACAATTTATTTGCCGCAAAATGTTTTACCAACGCGGCTTTTAGCTGCAGAAGTCTATTAGTCGCTAGAGACATTTAGTGGTGAATTTCTTGTTCTTTAGTAGTGAATAAATTTGTCGTTATAGACCATTTTTCTTATAGTGACAGTTTAAATTTCCATTAGAGAGACTGTAAGCCCTAATATTCACTTTATCTAACAAATGTGCCATTCCTATCAGTATGAAAACCCATTTAGGTAATTTTCCGAACTGCTCAAACATGCTTAGGTATTTGATTTATAATGGCTCTCATTGATTGGCAATATTAAAAACAGCTTAGCTCAAGACCTAGTGCAATATCATAACCAATTGTGAGGTTAAGTGTAACTTTCCAATTTTGCCAATCTAATTCTAAGGTCTGAGTAGAGGTGGGCCGTCACAAGCCGTGCCATCCTCCCCGTTGGAAATTTTTGGCCTTAGAGTAGTCAAATTGTGTCATTTTCCTAGTTAATTTCAATGTTGTGACTTCTGAGGATTTCTGTGCAAATTCTGTGCAAAACTGGGAAGTTTTCATGACTGAAATGTTGCTTTTGGGAAGTTGGTGTGAAATCCAGTTGAGAGAGGGGGTGTTTTTGTGAAAAACTCAAAGCAGGAGGGCGCCTCCTATCTGCTAAACCTAGTTTGGCGCCCCTTCTACTGTATTAGCATGCTCCCCATGCCTTAGCAAACCCTAGGACGCCTTTTAACCCAATCTTTTCACTTTTAGCAAACCCTATCTGCCCCTAGGTGTTTAATCTCCACCCTCCACCTCTTTTAATTTCAACCACTCATTCTAGGGCACTCTTTTTGCAGCTTTTAAACCCTAGGGCGCCACCTAACTACTAATCCTCACCATTTAGCTCATCACCACTAGATCTCAGCCCTCTACTCCATCTTATATCTCAACCATCCACTCTAGGGCGCCACCCACTCTTCTAATCTCCACCTTTCAACCCTAGGCACCTCAATCTCCTCCATTCATTTATGGGCGCCCAAATCTCAGCCCTACATAATATTGGGCTTCTTCTATTCTCAGCCTTAGGATCACCCCAAAAACCATCCTAACCCTCCATTAGAAACCCTAGGGCACCCATAACTTTGCTAAAACCTAGCTGTTGCCCCCTTCTTTCTCTTTAATTTCAATTGTATCCACCTTTCTCTATAAAAAGGACCCAAGAGCTCCTGAGAAAGGGTTGGATTTTGCCCCTAGGTAAGACGGAAGGTTGATCTTGAGAAGTTCAAGGGTAGAGGAAGAGGAGGACGCCTAGGCAAGAGGAGGGGTTCCTACTTGCAGTTCGCCAGCACCACTACTAGCACCTCTAGAATCGGATCCCAACCACTTTTACTTTATTTTAGTTTTAATTTTTGTTCTTCCAATTCCAATTTCGTTATTTACTTTCTGCAATTTATTTTCATTCCGTTTGATCTTCGTTCTATTTTTTGTAGATCTGCAATTCGGCCAGGTAAGACGGAAGGCCTAGCTCAAGAAGTTCGAGGGTCAAAGGATAGATCCGTAGACTACTACCTCTGATTGGATTACAGATTTTTATTTCATTTGTTTTGTTAATTTATTTTTGTATTTATTTATGTTTTTGCACTTTTAACTTTCAGTAATGTTTGAATTGTATATTTTTCTCAGTTTAATTAATTAATTTTTATATTTTTACACTTCCCTCTTGTGTTCTCTTGTCCGATATGAGTGTATATTAATTTTTCCCTCGCTTCCCTGTGGATATGACCTATTCTCACCCATTTATTACATTTGTAATTGTTTGAGAATCGGAAAAAATTTATAAATATTAAGCTGGTGTTCCGAAGTGCTTAACAACACGCTTCCGGACACACCATCGTGCTGTGCCGGCACATGGCCCTAGGCTGGGCCGAGCTGCAGGCTGTGCCATGGGCTTGGGTCGTGGTGGGCTAGGCCACAGAGCGGGCCTTGGGCCTGGGCCGAACCGGGCTGCACTATTTTTTTCAATTTTTTGTTTTTTTTGAAAATTTTGATTTCTTTTCTTAGTAAAATTGTAAAACTAAAATATTTATCTTTCCTATGAACTTTGGGAATTGGGAACTATTTAAAAAATTAGGAAATGAGAAATCTAAGTTATTTAACACATAAATAAAAAAAAATACTTAACCAAATTGAAATAAGAATGATGGAATAACAAATTGGAAGAAAAATAGGAATTTTATTTCATTTAAATTTGAATGGTACAAATTAATGAATTACAAATACAATGATTGGATCAATGCATACTTGGATGAATAAAATATAAAAATGGAATAAATTAATAAAATATAAAAAATACAATATGGTTACAAATTGAAAATATAAAATTACATTGTTAAAAAATTAAAAAAATATATCAAATAAATTAAATAAAATTAAAAAAATTACAATAATTTGAAAAAAATGAAAAATTCTATACAAGTAGTCAGAATTCATGAATCATCTTTCATGACTTTCATCATCTACTTCGGGTGAAATGTCCGATGTTGTATCATGTCCTCCCTTGTCATGTAATCTACTACATCTAGCCAATCCTTGAACCAGATGCACATCTCTATGCTCTCATCGTTCATGCAGCTTCTTTTGTCACCCAACACCTTGGTACCTACACTAAAACAAGACTTTGATGGAACTGTAGACACTGGAGGGGTTAGTAGATCATATGCCATGGCGGCGAGAACCAGATGATTTTTCAAGTGTTCACTCCACCAGGCTAAAATATCAAAATTATTTGATACTTCACCTAAATTAGAAAAAATTGCTTGTAAATAAAAATTAAGTTCAGTAAATGAACTTGTAAAACTAGCAGATTTCTACCTTCTACTTATTAAATAAAAAAGTTTTTTCTCTTCTAATACTGGGTTCAAGGTCAAAAGTAGAAGAAGAAGATGATGAACAATTGTAGGAATATTTCCTACAACTTCGGATTCATACAAATTGTATATTTCAAATAATAAATTATTAATTTCTTCTTTTTTATTTCCTATATCAATATTCATATTTTCACAATATGTTTCAAGTAAAATATCTAAACCATCTTTCCTAATCCTAGGGTCTAATATTGTAGCTAAACAATAAAGGGGAGAAATGTTTTCCCAATATTTTTAAATTTGTTTTCCATTAATTGTTAT